ATCTATATGTGTTTATATATACATATATATATATATATATATATGTTTATATATATGTTTATATATATATATATATATAAATATGAGCAGCACGGTGGCGCAACTGGTAGAGCTGCTGCCTCTGAGCGAGCAGGTCCCTGGTTCAAATCCCGGTCTGGGGACCTTTCTAGGTGCAGTTTGCATGTTCTCTCCGTGCATGCGTGGGTTTTCTCCGGTTTCCTCCCACAGACCAAAAACATGCATGTTAGGCTGATGGTAACTCTGAATTGTCCCTAGGTGAGAGAATGAATGGTTGTTTGTCTCTATGTGTCCCTGTGATGGACAGGAGACCTGTCCAGGGTGTCCCCCGCCCCTCGCACAGTGATATGTATTCAGGGTACAGGGCCCCCGTGATTAACGAGGGACTACTCTACTGTTTTTTTTATCAGTTGCGTTGAGGGACCAGCTGACCAAATCCATAATAGAGTAAAGAGAAGCTCTGAGGTTGACGGGACAAGAGAGCAAAAGAAAAGCGGGAGGGGGGAGGGGGGGGGGGACCATCTTCGTCGCGAGTGAAAGAGCATGTAATGTTTGAAGTGTTTGATGAGCTGAAGGCTAGTCAGAACAGGACCAAAGTAGATCCACTCTGGTCTTCAACAGTTCTCTGAATCTTTACGTCAGTGAAACTTAAATGTGCTACAGCTAGCTGCTGTCGTTCTTTAAATGATCTCAGAGTTCAGCGAAACGTCGTGAAGGTCATAAAACCAGTCGGTCTGTGTTCAGACTAGCCTTTAGCTCGTCAGTCCTGTCACAATCTGATTCTCTAAACTGAAGTTGAGCTGTCTACGGCAGGTAAGATGTTTACTGTTCATACACAGAACTATCGTAGATATTTTCTCGTTATCAAACTGTTTGAATGTTGATTGACAGCTGTTTGTCCCTCCACCTGACGCCTCCTGTGTTTCTCTGCCTCGCCGTGACCTTTGACCCGGACAGACGGCCGACATCCACAAGGTTTACCTGAGCTCCTTGTTCCTGGCCTACCTGTTCCAGTTCCAGAACGCCTCGCTGCTCAGCTCGCCTCTGCTCTGCCTCCTGATTGGCTCGGTGCTCGCGAGGTACTTCCAGGTAGAGTTAGCCCCTCCCCCACGCGAGACCGCCATCACAGTAGAGTTACGTGGACGTGTGCGGCGTGACCGCCGAGCTGGATTAAAAATAACGAAGAACGAGTCGGACCAGCGCTGAACTGAAGGAGACAGAGTCCAGATTTGTGTTTGTGGCCGTTTGTAAAGATTCAAAGATAAAGTTTTAAATAAGTTTGAAGTAATTCAGGAGTCCAGAAGGAGCCGAAGGGTTCACCTGAACTGAACGGTGTTTGTGTTCCAGCGGAGGATGAAGGTGGGTCCTCTGCTGGCCCGGCTGATGAAGCTCTTCCTGCACTTCTACCTGGTGTTCACCGCCGGCGTCACCTTCAGTTACCTGCTCACGGTAAACATCTGGTCCAGTTACCTGCTCACGGTAAACATCTGGACAGAGCAGCTGGTGGAGCTCTGACGTCCAGCTAACAACCCGTCTGTCTCCTCAGAAGTTCCTTCCTGCCGGTGAGAGCGACTTCACGTTGAAGTTCCTGGAAGCCAAGTTTGGACTCAACTCCACGACGTGAGCCGACGCCCCCACCGTACGGTAAACCGCCTGTCTTTGACGTGCATTCATTTGTTTACGTCTGCCTCAGAGACTTTGTCACCAACTTCCTGCTGTGCCAGGACGGGCTCCAAACGCCGGGTCAGGACTTGTTCCTGCGGCTGACCCAGGCCTCGGTTCTGCCCTTCTACGTCCTGGTCCTGACAGTCTGTCTGCTGTCCACCCTGCAAACCGTCTACAGGAGACTCAGGTGAGGCGTTCAGGTGACCGGGGGCCTCTTTCCTCCTGAAACGCAACGTGCGCACCAACAAATGCACCTGTGCACACTTCCTTTGTAAATCCAGATCGACGTGGACCAGGAGACATGGACCAGGAGACATGTCCCCAACACGTCAATTCAATCCAGTTTATTTATAAAGCACCAAATCACAACAAGTTGTCTCAGGGACTTTACAGGAACATTCACATAAAAGCCAGTTAGTAAAGTTCTCTATCTGAGGAATCCAGCAGACAAGTTGAATCTTGGCTTCGTTGCAGTCTCTCATCCTGAGCAAGCACAGTGGAGACAGTGGAAAGAAAAACTCCCTTTAACAGGAAGAAACCTCCAGCAGAACCAGCTCAGGACAAGAGACCATCTGCTTTGACCGGCTGGTTGAGAGGACAGGAAGGAGAGACAGACGAACACAGAATGGTAGGTCCAGATATAGGTCCAGGTCCAGGTATAGGTCCAGGTCCAGATATAGGTCCAGGTCCAGATATAGGTCCAGGTATAGGTCCAGGTCCAGATATAGGTCCAGGT